TATACTTGTATGGTTCATACGTTAACAGTAAAGTCCACTTATAGGATGTTTCGCCCTAAAATTATTTTAAAGGACAAGGTTGAAGAAAGATTGATGAAGCATCTTAATATAAATATATAATCACTAAGAAAGGTAAAATGGTTTAGTAAAACCAAAATTAAACCCGCAAAAGTGACTTCACTACAATGGCAAATAGAGCATAGATGTCTACCTACAAATAACTAGCTTATAGATAGACTGACCTTGGAACAAAGAGGGAAAGTGCTTCCATGGTGTAAATTTTGTAAATCTGCGTTTCCATCCAAGTTAATTCTTGAGACAATCGAGCATGTGTTCTTACAGTGCCCTGGGGCAATTTGGCTATGGAGATGGTGGGACCGCATTTGGTCTAATTTGGAAACAAAAGTCCAATGGCCATGGGACTGGAGAGCCCTTCTTCTTGAATCCTGGTCTCCTAAATTTATTGATGAATTCTCACAAAATGTATACAATATGGGTAGGAGAGCTGTTTTATGGGCAATATGGTTGAGAAGATGTACGAATGAAATGGAAGGAGTCAGACTAGATGGACCAGAATTCACTGACACAATTAAACAACAAATACAAACTGATATCAATATAAAATGGGAACAATCTAAAGAAAAAATAAACTTTATATCCTCACCAAAGGAAATCCTGCAGCACATTCAACGATTCAACCACTGCTGGTTAGGAGGAACCCAAGGGGGGGGCAATGGGAAAGGTTGAATGGGAAAGGGAAAGGAGAGCAGAAGAGGAGGAGTTAAGAAGGGACTTTAAGCTTGTTTTTAATAACTGGACTATGATCGATCCAACTATCCCTTTACGTCCACTTTCAGATGCGCTAGAATGAAGTATTTAGATATGGCGCCCTAATGGGGTGAAGAGGCACTTCTCATCCAACTCTATAGTTCAAGCATAATGTTCTTTCATATCATGTTTTGTACTCATGTATTCAAGGGACGCTGGACCCGGTTTCCAGCAGGTCTTGCTCCCCACCAATAGATGGAGCGTTTATAAAAAAAAAATAAAAAATAAAAAAAAATAAAAAATAAAAAGATTGCAGTTTGCAGGCTTCCAAAAATTCACAAGTTGTCATTTGAAAAAAAAAAAGATAATAATAGTAATAAAAAAAAATGACAACACGTTGAGAGTCTTGAGACCCTTCTGCGGCACCCGTGCAGTTTTTCCATCCTTTTTTTTGCTCTGTAAAGGGCAAGCAGGCCAAGGACCAGACCCGCGGTGCCTCCACAACACTCAGGGCTTAAAAAAAAAAAAAAAAAAAAAAAAAAAAAAAAAAAAAAAAAAGGTTATGCAGGCCGGTACCTCTAAACTGTGAGCTCTGGGTTAACCTGCTGTTTTCTGGAGACTTAAGGTCTCTTTAGACACTCCTAAAGGAATCCTAAAAAATTTAAGACGAGTCCTAAAATATTTTTAGGAATTGCTGCGGCTTGGTTACACGCATTCCTAAAGAAAAGCTTTTAGGATCTGTCCTAAAGGGTCTCCCGCGGCCTGTTTTCATATCCGTACATGGGGCCGCGCCGACGATGTCCGCCCATTGCAGCCTCGTGTGTGTGGTACACAGGGCGGCGGGCTCCGGCCGGTTCATGACGGGGAGGTAAAAAGGGCGTGGAGGCAGGAATTCGAAAATTCGAATTCGAATTTTCGCGGACACATGCTGGTGGGCCGGAGGACGGGTAGTGGTCAAATTCGTCATACAAAAGACGACGCTGCTGATCCCCAACTCGTAGGGAGCCGTGTTCGCCTGGAGTACGAAGTCATGTGTGGCATCTGAAGTGTTGTGTTGCAGCGAACAGAAGCTGAGTATTGTGCGCCGACGAGCATAGGCGGGACGTGTGAGACTCGAACAGGCGCTACACGTCTGCCATGAATCTGCGCTTTGGAGGGAGCGTTTCGAGCACACAAAGCACACAGACTCCGGGATGCTGACAGATTCAGTTGCAGGTTCTTCATATGGCGCCATATGCAGAACAGGTGAGTGGGCGAAGCCACTGATTTGAATTCCGACCGTTGGATGTCCTCCACTGCCTGCAGATCGTCCGTACCATGATGGTGCAATGTGACGCCCAACCTCACACCCAACGCGACTTCATGATCGGAGTGGGATGTGGGCCTGGAAATGCGAAAAGGGGTGTGCCAAGGATTTTTGGGGAAAGTGGGGGAGTCCTAAGGGTATGAATGCAATTCGGCGGGTGTGCGCAAGGGACTCACGGTCCGAACGGGCCGGGGCACTGTGGGCTACGGGTTACGGGAAAATTCCTCTGTGGTGGAAATGGTCCTGAAAAGTTAGGCCGTCGCGGGCCGCCACGTGGCGCAGGCCGCCTCGTGCCTGGGTTGGGCCTTCGGAATTCCGGGGCTCTTTGTGCGCCGCTGCGTCAGCAGTTTACACAAAACGTGTTGGGCCAGTAGGGGGCTATGGCCGGCCACGGAATGACACTGAGTTGATGATACGGGGGAAGGAGGCGGAAAGGAGGGAAACTGGTGGTGATCTCAATGAATCCTGGGTGGGTGAAGTAGTAGGTGTGGTCGGGGGAAGGGAAATCGGAGCACTGAGGGTCGCTAGAGGTGGCACAGTGGAATTCCCACGGACATAGCTGATTCTCCATGTGACAAGGGTATCGGGTCCTTATGAGCTCGTTTATTATAGGGGTGAAATAGTCTGGGTCATAGGACGAGTCTGAGCCTCAAGATCGCGTCATGGAATCATTGCCGATGGGATAGTGAGCGAGTCGACGCGCGGGAATGCGTGCAAGGGCGCGACTCAGATCGCGTTTACACGTGTTCTCATGCGGTGCTCGCGGGGCCGGACTTCGCGCCTAATTGCTTCGTAAGTCTCGGTTATGCAAAATGCAATCATACCACATCCTCATCAAGGGACAATCAAAAACGAAATCTACATCGGGGCCAGACTCTTATCCCATCTATCGCTGCACCCGGTGCAAGCAAAGATTCCGCACAAACAAAAAGAAAGGGCAGGGATTTTCCGCAAAAGAGATAGGCAAGCAGTCATAACATTCATGCATCCATGCATTCGACAATCATACACATCATGCACGTAAAAGCGGACATCGCGAAGACAAATGTGAGCAAAAATCCAAGCCCAGATTTCAGAAAGCCGAAACGAAAAAAAGAACGGGCAAACCGCCCGGAGCCGTAATCAAAATGTATGTACACAGGTGAAGAGGGGGGAAGAGACAAAGAAACCGCAAATCCACGTCCATCATCCTCAACTCTTTCTTCCTCTCTCTCTCTCTCTCCGATGCGGACAGTCCGTCATCACGCACCAACCCACAAAGTTGTCACCCCCCTTAGTCCTCCCGCACCCGTCGGATTCGCCCGTGCCCACAGTCCGTCGTGGTCCACATCAATCCCGCGCGTTCGGCACCAGCCCGTCGGGTCGCCCAACTCCTACTCTACTCACCTCTTACTTCGCTCGTGTGCCGACCCTTCCTGATCACGCAACCCCGAGTTTCCAACAACGGGTTAAGAGAGCTCACTTATCGCCCAGCCAAAATTTATAGCGTGCATGCATGCGTGAAGAACGCGGAATTACTAGGACTTAGAGTGAGGGTTAGAGAAAGGACGCCTGCGTTCTGCATGATCGGCCGCGACGTGGGGGACATACCCCTTCTCCACGCATCGATCCGAGCATGCAAGCCGCGGCTTACAAAATTTCAGCAAAAGAAAGAGAGGGAGGGCGGGAGAGACGAAGTGCAAGAAGAGAGATACAGTTACAATAACGCCCGCCCAAAATTACAGTTACACATACGATTAAGGGCGCCCACTAATCAGAGTACCGTTGCAGCCGCATGAAGAAGCGCGTAAACAAAAGGCGCCGCGCGGCAGGAAAAATCCTAATTACTGAATTCCTAAATTCCTTTCTAATGCAAGAAAAACAAAAAGCACGAATTACAAAAGGGAAGTCCGAAAACTCCGAGAGCCATCGGGGGGGGGGGCTCGACAAAATTCTAAAAAGACTCAAAGGAAAGATTCAAAAGAACGAAGCAATTTCCCGCGCGATGTCCGCGCCCAAAGGATCGAAACCGAAACGAAAGAAACGACGTCAACATTTATTAATTGCGCGCGCGGTGGCGCGCCAGACATCCATCCGACCAATCACAGAACCGGCCGTCCCAAGACACACCCAGCTCCGTACCGAGTCATCCGACAAGAAGCGACGAAAAAGACGAAAAAGCAAGGGTACTGATGCAACTTTCCATTGATCCCGATTTCCCGTAATTGGCCCAATCTTCCCAGCTTAGGACCCCTTGTGGCAACCGCACAGGAAGTCGCGCGTTACAGAAAGTGGTTCGTCACATATGTGACGCCCAGGGGGTTCCAATATTACCAAGCTCCTGCTTGCTTGTTGACACGTGTCGATTTCTCTAATCGATCGACACGCGGAGCACTTCTCTTTATGCCACTTACCGTTCGATTTTGTGCGGACGTCATCCAACGTGGCAACTTTGCTCTTCTATTACTTCCTCAGATTGGGCTCTCGACGGTCCAAGGACGGGATTTTTCTCGTGTCGTTACCGCGACACGCATCCATGACCGGTTGCACCAGTAACTAACTGGAAGGGGAAAAGGAAGCCGGTGCATGGCGGCATGGCGGGGTGGAGGGCTTAGGGGTAGCGGGGGCTGGAACCTTTCCATCCTGACTGCAGATTCTGGAAGCGCTTGGTAGCGGACGATGCGGTGGAAGCGGGGGAAACGGTTGCCAGTGCGAGGGAGGGACGCGAGGTAGTCAGGATAGGGGGTGGTGAGAGTTCGAAAAAGTGCCGTGCGAAAACGATCGCGATTTTCGCAGGCGGAAATGGTCCCCGTTACTATGCAATAAACCTCGATCATATTGTGGCCTCGCCACGTGGCACTAAGGAGCAAAACATGGAGGCAAAAGGTTGGGACGGCGCACTGAATGGAGGGGTGGGGGTGCACTACTATAGCGAGGTGAGCAGCATAGAAGTGGCGGAAGGTATCGCGAGGAAATGGGTTGAAGGGGAACGTGATGGGGGTGGTGAGCTGGCGGAGGGTGAGGTAGTCAAGAGGACGGTGAGAGAGTAATCAGGGACGAAGGTCGATCGCCCGTATTGGTACGTCGGTGAACTGGGGGACGGGCTTGGGAGGAGGGGGATCGGCTCCGTCGCCGCGTTGATGGGGTCGGAGTCGTGGCCGTGAGGTCACCATGTTCTGGTCGGGGCGGCTCCAAATCTTGGTTTGGGTCGTCGTGGATGTGCAAGCTTGCCCTGCTCGCAAACTCTAGTTCCTTCTTCCCGGTCGCGGTTTCTTCTCTTTTGCGGGCCGCCTCTGGATCTTCAGCCTCCGTGCTTGTGCATAGCGCTTCTTCCGGCACAGCTTCCCACTCTGATTCCGCAGGTCCTTCTTCGTTCTCCTCTTCTCCTTCGTCGTCGTCTTCTTCTTCCTCGCTCCGCTCCCCCTCGCTATGCTCGCTATAGCTTCCTTCTTCGGGGGTTTCGTCCTCTTCCCCGAGTACTTCGTCGCTTTCCCCACTTTCTTCCCGCTCGTCTTCTCCTTCCTCACTCTCAGTGCTTTCTTCCTCCTCTTCTTCCTCTCGAATGGCAGCAACCTGCTCTGCTGTTGGATGCCTGAAGAAGGAAGGATCACAAACCGTCCGGGGATCTAAATACTGCTGCTGCGATGGCGGGATGCGCTCTACGGCTCCCTCCACACAAGCTGACCACTGGAGATACAACGTCAACGTGCAAGAAAGCACATGAGGAATCGGGTGCTCGTCATCTTGCGAGATGATGTCGAGAGGGAGATCGTCCGCCAACTGCGCTACCGGGATCGCGAGCTCTTGCGGGATGAGTTTCTGATGTCCAGGCCGTACTGTACTGAACAGAAACGCGAGGAGTTCTCCCTCCACGTTGGTTCGCCAAGCCTGGATGAACAGCAACTTCAGGCGCTCTATGCAAGGCGGGCGCGCCTCGTCCTCGGTCCACGTCAGCCGTACCTCGACCAAGCACAGTGAACGCTCGACGAAGTCTTCGCGCCACAGTTCCCAGTGTGGGGGATGAATATCGGGGACAGCAAGGGTCGTTAGACATTATGAAAGGCGAGGATGGATATCAGACTGCCAGAAGGTGGGGAAGGTGGAGGGGGGATAAAAAACGAAGATAGGAGAGAGACTCATTGGGGGCGAGGGAAGGGAACAACAACAGGGAGAACCGTCGGCGGATCATGCTGGTACATCCGAAGGCCGTCGTATTCGATCGCTCGTGTCGACGCGACCGTGTCCCCGGGGCGAGCCAGAAGCTAGGTCCACTCGGCGACTAGATCGTTTGCCCGCGCGCGAAGCGATGTCCTCACCGCCAAATGTCGTAAAGGGAGGAGTGTGGAGAGATCGCCACGGAAGTTGATGACGACCGATATGCGGCTGACACCTGGCACCGCTCGCTGATGAACTTCTACTGCTTCGGCCAGTACCACTGCGTTGGGCCGGCCCTCGATTCTGAACACCGCCGCTGCATACACGCCTTCCGTGCAGAAAAAGTGCGCAAGCCGCCGAAGATCTGGACTGAGATGGGGATGATAGACTTGCCGGATCATCAATCGATCACGGGGTGCAAGCGATGCTTCGCTGAGGGCTCTTTCCTCCAGAAAACTCATGGCGATGGCGATGGAGATGGAGAGGCAGAGAGGGAGCAAGAGGAAGAGGGGGATGACGAAGAGTCAGAGTCGTCGTCTTCGACTTCCTCAGAAGAAGAGATCGAGGGAGAAGGAGACGGAGCAGAGGGGAGGAGGCAAAGATAGCACATGTGGCGTGTGATCAGGCGGGTGGATCGGCTGCTAGAGGCTTCCGGGGCGAGACGCACAGTGTCTACGCCGTTGGGGACGAGCTCGATCACGCAATATCGCCCAAAGAATCGTGGCGCTAGCTTACCCTGGTGAGCACATTTCCTCACCTGCACCACGTCCCCTAATTTGTACTTGGTCCGCGGACCCGCATTCCCCTTTCGGGCCTCGTAGCTCCGGACCTGCCGGCCTTGGGCTAGTTCAGTCATTTTCTGTCGTTTTCGGGCTAGCGTGGGCTGTGATTGTTCCATTAGCTCTAGATGCCGTTTGGCCTTGTCCCTAGCCGTGGCCCTGGTGGGTCGTCGGTTCAATGTAGACTCGTCCGGGAGGCTTGGTATTAAAACACAAGCGACGCTATTGGTCCTTAATTGGAAGGGGCTTAGCCCCGTCGATTCGTGGGGCGTTCCGCGATGGACCGCCAGGATGTGATCGACGATGTCGGGCCAGGGCCTCGGATCCCGTGCCGCGATATTTCGTTGCAATGCGGTCTTTATCACCCGGTTGGCGTTTTCGACCAGCCCATTGGATTGTGACATGTGGGGTGCAGTGTTACGTATGGCGACGCCATTGAGGACCAGGTTCCTTAACACGTCTCTCCTGAATTCAGCCCCGTTGTCGGTCAGGATTTCTTCCGTATCCTGATGCATCCCGAGGAAGCGGTTGACATATCGCGCGATTTCCGTGGCTTGCCGCGTGCGACAAGGATATGCTTCGATCCATTTCGAAAAATGGTCGACAAACACCAATAGGATTGAATATTCGCAGCTATTAGGGCCAGGGGGCACCACTATGTCGGTTGTGTTCATGCTCACTCTTTGAAATGGCCGTTCAACAACCGTAGGCACTATCGATCTTGGCGGCTGAATCGGCGCCTTGTCAGCGGCGCAGACTTGACAGTTGGCGACAATGTATTTCACATCGTCACGGATATTGGACCAATACCACTCATTTTTGTCGATCGCGGACTCCGTGATTCGTACAGCAAAATGAGCCGCAGTTTCCTCGTGGGCTGTCTTAACCCAGTCGTACCGCATGAACGGATGCGGCACTACCATCCAAATCCCACTACCGTCCGTTTTCTGTTTTTCTAATCTACTCTCTATCCATCGATAATCCCGAGCCCTTTCGTTGGCCCTCCTCCGATCTTCCTTAGTGAAATCCTGGAGGGGGTTACCTACTAGGGTGGCAATCAAGGTAATATCCGTCCATACTTCGGCCCTTCTAAACTTCTGGGTCTTTTCCAATCCTTCTGACGTGGCATCCAAAAAGCGAGCCTCGGTCGAAATCTTGTTGGTCTGGCACAAGGGGCACAACCACGGTTTACTATCATTTCTGTATTGGACGCACGAGCCATGGGCTCGTGCGACGCATTGTCGACAATCTATCCAATCGACATACCCTTCTCCGTTAGGACACGTGGAGACCGAGTATACGCGGGAGATGGCTTCGCAAAAATAGCAAAATTTGTCAGGCAGGGAGAGGAGAGACGAAGAGGAAGGGGGGGAGAGAGGGGTAGTGGGGTCACCTCCGTCACCCATCGCCACCGTTTTGCTTCTTGCCACGTGTAAGCCCGTCCGCGTTGCCTTGCCGTTCTGTCTTTCGATGGACGATATCGAAGTCGTATTCTTGTAGTCGCACCGCCCAACAGCCAATCATGCCGGTGTAGTTGGTGAGTTTCTTCAGCGCTAGTAGTGGCTCGTGACCCGTTACGAGGCGAAACTTCTGTCCGTAGAGATACGGATGGAAGTGCTGGATTCCCCAAACTACCGCATAGCACCCGCCTTGAGGTGCGGAGTCGTTTCTTCGTTCGTCCGATACGGTTCGAGACGCGTACTCGATGACTCGTTCGCGACCATCGTTCCCCTTTTGTGCTAGAATAGCGGAAATAGCTTCCGGTTGCCAATCCGTGATGAGAATGAACTGCTTCGAGGGGTCCGACCGAATCAAAATAGGGGTCGTTGCCAGAGCGTCTTTGAGGGTTGCAAAGGCCTGTTGGCACTCCACGTCCCAACTGAGAGGTTGGTCCTTCCGTAACAGGTTCGTTAGCAGTCGTGCAATCGCGGCAAAGCCCTTGATGAAGCGCCGGTAGTACGACGCCAGTCCCAAGAAGGCTCGAACCTGCGTCAGTGACGTGGGAACCGGGGCTTCCTTCACCGCCGCAACTTTTCTCGAGTCCGACCGCAATCCTCCACGTGTCACGACGTAGCCCAAGAACGAAATTTCCGTGAGGAAAAATTCGCTCTTCTCGAGCGCAATCTTGAACCTTGCGTCTCTTAGTGCTACCAAGGTCCATTCAATATGTTGCCCGTGCTCGTGATAGGTTTCCGAATAGACCAGGATATTGTCCATGTGTAGGATCACGCAGAAGTTAATCATCCCTTGCGTCAGCCGTATCTTGTTGACGAAATTCTGGAACGTCATGTTCATTGCTCGTTAAAACGTGACAGGCGTATTGCAAATCCCCATCGGACATCGAACCCACTGCCACGTGCCATCAAACAACACAAAGGCGGTTTTCGGTCGATCTTCTTCCCTTACCAGAATATGATGGAAGTCATGCCGAATATCAAACTTGCTAAAATAATTAGCGCACCCAATCGCATCCAACAGATCATCAATCCGGGGAAGAGAATACACATTTTTTATGGTGATTTTATTCAGCTTGCGATAATCAATGCAAATACGAATCGCCCCGTTTTTCTTCGGCACTAATACTACGGGAAAGGACCAAGGTCCGGTCGCGGGTTCAATCCAACCACTGGCTTCGAACTCCCGAATTCGTTCGAGAACCTTTTTGCGTTCAATCAAGGAATAGCGATAAAGTTTGCAATGAATTGGGGAGTGATTTCCTCTCTGAATTTCATGTTGGATTACTAACGACAACCCGATGTCAGTGTCTGACACACTAATTGCTCCTTGGTATTCCGTTAGAATATCCGCAATTAGCCGGTGGATTTCAGCCGGCACATATTGTGGAACGTGCAGTTCGAAAAGTTGGTCCCAGATCCGAACGTCAATCTGTTTCGTGTTTGTCTGTTTTGTCGAATCGGGTGGAGGCGTCGTGATGAATGAATGATCTGATCGCCAAGAGAACACCGTGGCCATCATCTGAGCATCTTGTTCTCGGATTGCCACGTGTCCTTCTGGGATAATCCCATCACAAACATTCTGCCATGACACTTCCTTAGTTGCAATTTTTATCCCCAGTCCGTTTATTTTTGCTTCCAAACGCCCACGGGGTTCCAGAGAGCTTGCTTCTGCCCCCAAGTGTAACAATCTCACTTCTTTGGCCGAGGTTAGTAAAGACTTGGGTAGATCCGTAATATCACAGTAATGCTTCTTGTCGCTGTACCGGGCGAGGAGAAGGGTGATCCTTTCATACAGAGTTTGAGGGGGTTCCAAAGAATCGACCATCCTCGAAATCTGCACGAGGGGCTCGCCTAAGATCATCGCCTTGGTCCTTTGAATTTTTCGGCTGATCTGTTGCATCGTTCTTGCTATCGTTCTGGGCGGCGGGTAGCAAAAGCGTTATCGTACCAATTTCAAGACCTCCGGATCATCTTCGTCACTGCTTTCCGCATCATTAGTTGATTGCTTCCCTTCTGCGGGTTCGCCCCAGGAGATCATGCAGAGAGTCCCTGCCATCATCGGCGAAACCCGCGGAACCGCGTTAATAGTAGTGCGAAGGGTCAATCACATGGGCACAGCGTAGGGCTTTCCTCCTGTATTTCGGAGGACGATCGATCGTCGTTCAAAATCCTGGCTTGCTCGTAACGCCACAAGAGTAGGAAGTCCGAAAAAAACGTCGTACGTATTAACATCAAGGACTACGACATCCCCAAGCGCGTGTACTTTTCCTAATCGGAAGGTGACGTTGGTCATTCTCCCCACCGTTTTAATATTTTCCTCATTTGTCGAAACGAGCTGATCTTTCTCGATGAGCATGATCAAATCGTTTTTCCTGCCTGCCCTTTGGACCACTCTAAGTGAAATAGCCAACACAGCTGCTCCTGAATCTATAATTGCGTTGTAAGGAATTCTCCAAATTTTTATATCGCACTTTGAGGATTTCCACGGAATGAGTTTAATCCGTAGGAAATAATCGTCTTTCTGAATTAATCCTAACCGTATCGAATCCGGAGTGTTTGTTGGGTCTTCTTCCGACGCGGGCCTTTGGCTTTTACGTTCGGTGCTCGGGCGGGGGCGAATCGTTTTCGATTCGCTTCGCAATGCTGTAGCATTCGCTCGTTGGCTTACTCAGAGATCGAGAGTAGGTGACCGATCGGAAGGGGAATCCAATGGTCCAAAGCTCGGATGATGTTTAATACATCGATCTCCCCTGTGACGAAGGTGGGTCCTCCCGACTCCATTTCTCCTAAGGACGGTCGCCACTCCGCCACCTCTTTTGGTTCTGGCGCTGGTCTAATTGTTCCGATCATTCCTAGCCCAGGATATCCCAGCGATACGTACTGATCTAGCGGAATTAGCTCGGCGGCCTCTTCCGTGGTGGCGAGGGCACTTCCCCCACCCTCTACTTCTTCCATCAAGGCTCCGACTCGTCCAGGTCCGTTGGCGATGGTGGGGGTCGGTGGGGGCAGTCACGGGCTAGATGTCCGGACTGATGACAGGTGTAGGAAACATTCAGATTGTTCGCAGCTCCTCCAAGAGCAGGGGCGGGGGCTAATCCTTGTTGCATCGGAGGGGCACGCACCGCAATAGGTCGCATGTTCCTCATCATGGCTTCCAACCGAGCATTGTGCTCTTGCTGCTCCTTTTTGCTTTCTTGGATCAAACTAATCAAAGTTTTGGTTAGTTTGAAAATGGCCGCCGATTCGTTTGATCGTACAGGAGCTTCTACCAGCGGCGGGGGTAATGTCCTGACGGGCGGGGGCATCATAGGAGCAGAGATGCTCGGAGTCTCACTTAGGATTACTCGTTTGGGGCCTATCTGTTCCATATAGGTGACAGGTCCTGATACGAACCCCATGTCAGCCAGCTCTACTCTTGCTCGAGCGAGCTCGAGCGAATCTCCGTCTCAAGGGTAATCTTCTCCTTCCATGAAGTTCGCCGCGAACTTCCGTTCCATTTCTTCCGCAGCAGCCATAATTTGTTGTAGCGTATGGGTGATGGGGGAAAACTGCTTTCGCAACTTAGCCTTTATTGTTCGACTGCGGAGTCCGTCAATGAACAGATCTCTCCCTACTTGCTCACCTCGCTCAGTTTTTACGAACATTCTATAGAACCGGTTTCAATATTCCGCGACGGATTCGAGTGGTTTTTGTACTGGATCCTTGATCATGTACAGCGCTTGCTCAGGGTGGACATAATCGAATCGGTTCAAAAAGTCCCGCTCGAAGGTCGGGAGAACCACCCATACATAGGTACTATACCAATGATGAGCGTCTCCTCCCATTCGAGCCGGAATGTTGATCTGTGCTTCGTGATCATCGTATTGCTGTGCTCTAAGTGTGGCCAGCCATGCTCCTGCGAGATGGTGCGCCGCATCAAATAGAAAGAGATCTGGTGGTGACATGGGAGCTCGTGCACGTGGGGCAGATTGATTAGGTGGATTAGCATTTTGTTGCGGAACTAGATTTTGCACATTGGCAGCCATATTGGCTGCTCGTCGGTTAGCCGATCTGCTTCTGGTGACGATAGGGTCGCGTCTATGCGCGTTCCGAGGGCGAGGTCGCCCACGGTTAGCCAGGTCGCCTAATTAACGTGCTATCAATCCTAAGGCCCTAGCCACGTGTCGGGCTCCGATACCAACCTCACGCCCAGCGCGACTTCCTGATCGGAGTGGGATTTGGGCCTGGAAGTGCGAAAAGGGGTGTGCCAAGGAATTTTGGAGAAAATGGGGGAGTCTTAAGGGTATGAATGCAATTAGGCGGGTATGCGCAAGGGACTCACGGTCCGATGGGGCCGGGGCACTGTGGGCGACGAGTTATGAGAAAATTCCTCTGTGGTGGAGATGGTCTTGAAAAGTTAGGCCGTCGGGGGCCGCCACGTGGCGCAGGCCGCCGCGTGCCTGGGTTGGGCCTTCGGAATTTCGGGGCTTTTTGTGCGCCGCTGCGTCGGCAGTTTACACAAAACGCGTTGGGCCAGTAGGGAGCTATGGCCGGCCACGGAGCGACACTGAGTTGATGATACGGGAGAAGGAGGCGAAAAGGAGGGAAACTGGTGGTGATCTCAATGAATCCCGGGTGGGTGAAGTAGTAGGTGTGGTCGGGGGAAGGGAAATCGGAGCACCGAGGGTCGCTAGTGGTGGCACAGTGGAATTCCCTCGGACATAGCCGATTCTCCGTGTGACAAGGGTATCGGGTCCTTATGAGCTCGTTTCTTATAGGGGTGAAATAGTCCGGGTCATAGGACGAGTCTAAGCCCCAAGATCGTGTCATGGTATCATTGCCGATGGGATAGTGAGCAAGTCGACGCGCGGGAATGCGTGCAAGGGCGCGACTCGGATCGCGTTTACATGTGTGCTCGTGCAGCGCTCGCAGGGCCAGACTTCGCGCCTAATTGCTTCGTAAGTCTCGGTTATGCAAGATGCAATCATACCACATCCTCATAAGGGGACAATCAAAAACGAAATCTACATCAGGGCCAAACTCTTATCCCATCTATGGCTGCACCCGGTGCAAGCAAAGATTCAGCACAAACAAAAAGCAAGGGCACGAATTTTCTGCAAAAGAGATAGGCAAGCAGTCATAACATTCATGCATCCATGCATTCGACAATCATACACATCATGCAAGCAAAAGCGGACATCGCGAAGACAAATGTGAGCAAAAATCCAAGCCCAGATTTCAGAAAGCCGAAACGAAAATAAGAACGGGCAAACCGCCCGGAGCCGTAATCAAAATGTATGTACACAGGTGAAGAGTGGGGAAGAGACAAAGAAACCGCAAATCCACGTCCATCATCCTCAACTCTCTCTTCCTCTCTCTCTCTCTCTCCGATGCGGACAGTCCGTCGTCACGCACCAACCTACGAAGTTGTCACCCCACTTAGTCCTCCCACACCCATCGGATTCGCCCGTGCCCATAGTCCATCGTGGTCCACGTTAATCCCGCGCATTCGGCACCAGCCCATCGGGTCGCCCAACTCCTGCTCTACTCACCTCTTACTTCGCTCGTGTGCCGACCCTTCCTGATCGCTCAACCCCGAGCTTCCAACAACGGGTTAAGAGAGCTCACTAATCGCGCAGCCAAAATTTATAGCGTGCATGCATGCGCGAAGAACGCGAAATTACTAGGACTTAGAGAAAGGGTTAGAGAAAGGACGCCTGCGTTCTGCATGATCGGCCGTGGCGTGGGGGACGTACCCCTTCTCCACGCATCGATCCGAGCATGCAGGCCGCGACTTACAAAATTCCAGCAAAAGAAAGAAAGGGAGGGCGGGAGAGACGAAGTGCAAGAAGAGAGATACAGTTACAATGGCGCCCGCCCAAAATTACAGTTACACATACGATTAAGGGCGCCCACTAATCAGAGTACCGTTGCAGCCGCATGAAGAAGCACAAAAACAAAAGGCGCCTCGCGACAGGAAAAATCCTAATTACTGAATTCCTAAATTCCTTTCTAATGCGAAAAAAACAAAAAGAACGAATTCCAGAAGGGAAGTCCAAAAACTCCGAGAGCCATCGGGGGGGCGGCTCGGCAAAATTCGAAAAAGACTCAAAGGAAAGATTCAAAAGAACGAAGCAATTTCCCGCGCGATGTCCGCGCCCAAAGGATCGAAACCGAAACGAAAGAAACGACGTCAACATTTATTAATCGCGCGCGCGGTGGCGCGCCAGACATCCATCCGACCAATCACTCAACCGGCCGTCCCAAAACACACCCAGCTCCGTACCCAGTCATCCGGCAAGAAGCGATGAAAAAGATGAAAAAACAAGGGTACTGATGCAACTTTCCATTGATCTCGATTTCCCGTAATTGGCCCAATCTTCCCAGCTTAGGACCCCTCATGGCAACCGCACAGGAAGTCGCGCGTTACAGAAAGTGGTTCGTCACAGCAATGCCTTGTCCTCCTTCGCATTTCGCTTCAAAGGCAATGGTGGACTACGGAGGACAGGGCACCCCCGCTTGCCATCCCCGGTCCGCTTCGCCCGCCAACGGCTACTGATGGTGGCCAACGGCTACTGATGGTGGCCGTTGCCTTCATCCCGCCACTGGAGGCCTCCAATATCCGACCCCTGGACCGACGGACAACTTCTGCACCACGGACTCGGAGACAACGGTGCCCTGCGCGCGTTGCCAAGCCTCCATGAAACGCGGCTTCCAAAATTTTAGATGCTTGGGAGGAGCTTTATTTTTTAGGAACTTTTGCCTGGCGAATCCTAAGGACAAGTCCTAACGCCGTTTTCACATTTTCTTTGAAATTCACGAATTCGGTTTTAGGAATGCGTGTAACCACACTGCATTCCTAAAAATCGGCATTTTTAGGAGTGTCTAACGAGACCCTAAGTTCAGTAGTGGCACAAACAAGTTTGGAAAGGGCAACAAAATCACACGAGGGCAACAAACCCGCGCGCCAAGTTTGAAATGGCAACAAAAGCAGTTTTAACCATGCACCGAGTGCGAAAAGGGCAACGAACTCGCGTACCAAGTTTGAAAAGGGCAACAAAATCACACACAGGCCACAATGTCAGCCATTCTTACTGATATCGCCATTTTCAAACTCGGCACCCGGTTTTGTTGCCCGCACATGTTATTTTTGCCCGTTTGAAACTGAAAGTGTGGCACTGCTGGACTTGTTTCTATTATAAAATCGGGGAAACTATGTGGTGGTCACAAAGGCAGTTTGAAATTGCACTTCAGGCATTTGAGCCGGAAAATGTCAAATGCATAACAGGCTAGGTTTCCGGAGGGGGGGAGCTATGTTCAAGAGAATGCCTAGAGTGTAATTTCAAATTTTCTTTTGTGACAACCGTCGGCCGCATAGTTACCCCTATTTTAAATGTGGGGTGGGGCCCTTCAATGGTTTGCATTGCACCAGCTCTCCCCTTTTGCCAATCTACCCTTCGCAACCTTCTCCTTTTGCCAATTTACCCTTTCAGATGGTAATCCTAGCATGCTCACAGAACAATTCTGATCTCTTGCAGTAGTTAATGCCAGCATGTGATGATTATGTGATGTCATAAAAAGCCCCCCTCCAACAAACTTAAGGTTGCTGTGGGAACCGGGCCTTAGGCTAGGAAATGTGAAACCGTTTCACTCCATCGGAAATAACAGTTTAAATCACCAGTACCTTCAAAGGGCATGACGTGCATGCTGCCAGGCATTGCTAGCCATTGCTACACTGCCGCGGCATGCCCTCTTGAATGAATCTATGCCTGCACCCCAGGATATTGGGGTTGCTGCATCCCAAGGATATGGATAAACAGGGGATCTTGCACCCCAGGCCCGTTCAGCCCTCTTGAATGAATCTATGCCTGCACCCCAGGATATTGGGGTTGCTGCATCCAAGGATATGGATAAACAGGGGATCTTGCACCCCAGGCCCATTCAACCCACCACATAGCGGCGCCCATGCGGCTGCGGCTTTTGAAAGTAACACCCTCCCTCACCTACCTTCTTCCCCCGAATACAACGTACGGTCCTTATAGCTGTATTTGGGGTGTCTTTCAGTCAAGATACGGCTATAATGATGTTGTATTCCGGGGAAAAAGGTAGTACTGATCACACCCAAATTCAGTTGTCATCATATGTGCTATTTTCTGCCCTTTAAAAAAAAAAAAAAATGGTCCTTCGCATATGATATAGATATCCATACCTACAACTATATGCATTTTTGTTTCTTTTCCTCCTTTTATTCCCACAGTGCTCTGGTTTTTTCGTGGGGACCTGCTCCTGATGGAAAGTGGGCCCAATGTCCCTATAAATTTTCCTCTTGCGTAGCGTAACAAAATTTAAATGGCCAGCATTGATTGCCCCCCTTGCCACCCTCCACCCACGCCCCCCCCAACGCCAGGCAGGGAATTAACGCCATGATAGTACATGGATATGACATTTACGAATTTGCAAGTCTCCTTCTGAAGAATACCATGAACTGTCCATCGCCCAAGCGGCCCACATCTTCTTCTTCGACTTGAAGTCTTTAAATTTTTGTTTTTTTCTGAACGTTTCTCATGATCATGATGAAATTTTACAAGATTATGCTATCTATCTTATGATCCAACGTGACAAATGCAGAGCCACTACCCTCGCCGGCCAATCTCATACGCATGCATGCTACATCTCTGTGCACAGTGTCAAATCAAATGCATGCACCGCAGCCAGCATAGTAGCAAATCTGCTCCCACTTGTCTTCGCCATACCCGGCAAAGATTCGGACCCTCTGCAGCGCAAAACCATCATCACGATTCACGAGCCCTGTGCTCTTCCCAATTAATATTAAGTTTTTGATTCCTTGTTCGTTACGATTCCGTAGTGCATCGCTACATTCTTTTCCACAAAGCTCTTGAAGGAAAAATTCCGAAACGTTTGGAGACAATGGAGAGTGACTGTCCTTGACCTCCTTTTTTTTTTTTTTTTTTTTTTTCCCTCAAGCACAAAGAGAGACGACCCCTTTATATTCTGGGGGGTACCATTCGGGGGTTGCTTATCCCCGGCAAGCATAAGGAAAACAGAGGAAAGTATATGAACAACAATGAACCCAGTTTAACTGAAGTACCCCCCAGTTAAACTGCGTTCAGTCCCCAGTTAAACTGTGTTCAGTCCCCAGTTTAACTAGGTTCAGTCCCCAGTTTAACTGGGTTCGAGTCCCCGATATACTTTGAGACAAGTAGAGGGAGACTAAGTGAAGTACCCAGTCCTACCCAGCAACTCTTGGTATATTTAGTACACTAACAATTTGCTGAACTTCCTTTCCACTACTGTGCACCGCAGTTGCATTTCCAGTGCTCGAACTCGCCCCTTTGTACGATCTATGCATAATCACTTAGTACTGATTTTATATGCTTACAGAGTTCAATGTTGTCCATCAAACTCAATTAAAAACACATATTGGGCCTCGCTGCACTACTCTTGAATCTTGAGAAATCAAGTGTTCATCACCGCTGCACTAACTCTTCATGCCGCGTCCTGAATTTCCATTCAAGAGATGTCAGATTCACTCTTGAAAACGGCGTGAGCGAGTCATCGCTGCACTAACTGTTGAAACTGCTCTTGGTCCGGCGCTTCAAGAAGCGTCAGAAACGGCCCATCGGACGAGCTCCTGAAGTTTCCACAGTTCCCGCATGCAGGGGCGTTTTTTTCAAACGAGGCCGACGGGTCCCTTCGTGCGGGTTGCAAATTTGAGAGTTGGCCTCCAGTCGCGGCGGACAAATCGTCGCTGCCCTGTCGTGTAGTGTCTGTCGGACAGTCAAGAATGCTCACGAGAGTCAAGAGTCCGGAGTAAGTGCAGCGACGACAGCACTTGATGCCAATCCATGAGTCTGACAGCGCTAGACGTACTCTTGAAATTTTTCATGTGTCTAGCATTGGGCCTCGCTGCACTACTCTCGAAATGTGCAAAACGAGAGTGAATCTTCCGCTAGAACATGGAAAGAGACAGCGACATGATTTTTGTCTTTTGTGCATTTCAAGAGTAGTGCAGCGAGGCCCATTGTTGTACACATCCATTTGTAAATGTGTAGTGCAGCTGTTCTGTAAAAGGAAAACAATAGGGATCGATCTTTTTTTTTTTTTTTTTTTAAGGAAGACCAGAACCATGTTACTAGGAGGGGTGGTATGAGCAGCCTCCCGTAGTATAGAGTTCTGGTTGATCCGGTCTATTGGTGCGGAGCCGCACCTGCTGGAAAACAGGTCCGGCGTCCCAATTTGATACATAGGAAAACAGGTCCAGCCGCACCTGTTTTAATCTTTAGCTGCCAACACTGACTACCCTGCGGGAACTAGGGGGCTAACTGTAGAGCTAGCTCTTCTCAATTAAGATTGTCGATACTGCGAGTGCTACCTCTTCAACCCTCAAGTGGGCTGCAGAAACTTCTGCTAGTTCGCAGCAAAAATGATGAACCTTCTCCGTGGACCTTAGAACCCCAATACTCAAGACCAACAGTGGACATCAACTATTGGACAGCATACCAATTCTGGTGCACCAAACTCAGGGGTGGTGGTGGGAACATGTCTGGGAAATCAGAAGGATGGCGAGGTGGGATTGAGGGGCAGAGATTCATCAAATCCGGAAAACCAGTTGATAATCCCTTCTGTGACGGACCCATCGGGATGGCGGTCCGTCAGTGCCAAGACGAAGGGATAAGGATGAGGGAGATGGGGATGGAGCTGGAAGGGACAGCGCGGCTCCGACGCACACTCAACA